CATCTGGTCCATGGAAAAGAATCCCACGTTCTTTGCCAAAATCAACTCTGAAAGCATAGATCCATCCCAAAGTAGTGGCAGTTTTTGTCTACTCCAACCCCAAAGCAGCTGGCTGGCCTGTCTCTGTTCTCCTGATTTCGTGGGTGAGAGTCAGGTCTTCTTTAACCTCAGTGAGTTGTATCAAGCTCTTGGGTGGTCCCATTGGCATCACTCTTATCAGGCTTGGGGTGAGAGACCGCACCCACCGTGACTTCCTTCCTCCCATCCCCGGTGTAGAGGTGACAGCAGCAGCCCTTGACAAACAGCTCCTATTCAAGCATCTCCCTAATTTTCACAGTCCAATCTCTTTGTCCCCAGTATAGGTGAGGGGTCTCAAGAGTTGTAAAATGTGTTTTAACAATTCCTGTGTCAATTCTGTGTATAGCCTAGTTTGGAATACAGCATCTGTGGGGTCCGGCTGCCCCAGTAAAAACTTCCAGTGTGCTATGTTGGTTCAGACTGATAGCATTTTGCATTAGTGAGCAGCATTTGACTACTACACAATCTAGCCCTATTTTGGTTGTTTAGAACTGCATCCAAGGTCAAGCTAGAACTAACCTGGGGGTTTAAGCAGCTTGTCCACAGACCTCACATCCTTAGTTTCCCCCTGCCCCCGCCAAATCTGGTCTCCCTCATCATGGCTATGCATATCAGAGCCCCACATGCTGTAGGGCATGGATTATCAGGGATCAGGAAACTTCTGTAAGGATAAGAAAGTAAATACTTGAGGATTTGTGGGCTGTACAGTCTCTGTCACAATTACTCAACTCTTGTTGTAACACAAAAGCAGCCAGACAATTCATAAACAAACAAGAATGGCTGTGCTCCAGTGAAACTCTATTTACAGAGCAGGCAGTGGGCTGCATTTGGCCCATGGGTCACAGTTCACTGACCCTTGGATTAGATCCGTGAATAGAGAAAGAGAAATGGTGACCTTAACTATACTGGGGATTTATCTGGGCAGAAAGGGAAGAAAATCTCAGTGATTGAAAGCCCATAGCCTGTGGAGGACATAAACCTGCTTTGTCCAGAAGATGTGAAGACTTTAGAATTTTACCCTTGGGATTCTGAAGACCTCAGAAACTCAAGCTGGAAAAGGATCATACTTTTTAAACCAGCAGATTATGATGCTCAACAAAAAAGAGCAGCAGGGAAGTCAACACTGAGGTGTGTTCAAGGTCACCTGCCACTGTCAGGGTCACCCTAGTTTTCACCACAGCAGGCTCTCTCTAGTGCAGACACCGCTCTCACTTCCACCCTTTGGTTCATGAAAAAGTTGTTCAAACATGTAGCAAATGCCTTATCCCTCAAGCCTTAACTGAGTGTGCCTAGCTGGCGTCCAACATCCAGTATCTGCATCTTGTTGCTGGGGAGCTTTCCTCAAAGCTGGAAGGCCTCTTGAGAACCAGGCAGGCTGGAAATCCTGAGGAATTAAGCGCCAATCAGCCAATGACCAACAGGAGTGGAGTGTTAATACCCCAGCTGTCTTCCCCCTCGAATGGGATAACTGAGGAATGTGAGTTACACTGTTTCCCAGAGTTTCCTAGTGGTTTTGAGCTCCAGTCTCCCCTCAGTGGAAGGTACTTCGTAACGTACCCTTTGTTGGCATCTTCCTCTTCTGTTGTACTTCCCCACTCCCTCCTGGAGTTTCCTTTCGCATAAACTCTTTGCTCCCCACTTCTTGCTCAGGAGCTGCTTTCGGGGGATCCCAACCTAAGCAGAATATCACTTTCTCTGTGTAACTTTCTTCATTCAACTTTCTGCTGAGGGGCCTTTGGGCACCTGTCACATTCAATTATAGTCATTTGAGTCAGATGGATCTTTTCCACTGAATGGTGAGTTTTCTAGAAATGAATCTTATTCATCTTTACATCACTGGCATTTTCCTCAGCCTGTTGCACAGTGTTCAAGACATGATTGCTGACTACAGAAAGCTTGATGCATAGGCAGAGTTGATACGAAGAGGCAAGTTTGAAGGGGCTAGTGCTGTACCACTAACCACATGCAGTAGCCACTAGCCACATGTTAGCTATTTCAATTAAAATGGAATCGGAGTGAAAAATTCAGTTCCTCAGTCTCACTAGCCACATTTCAGGTGCTCAATAGCTGCATATGATCAGTGGTGATTATATTGGACAACACAGATGTAGAACTTTTCTATCGTTGTAGATGGTTCCATCGGACAGCATGGGGCTGGGGAGCACACTGAATCTGTGATTTGGTTATGTGCAGTTTTGTGTCGGTCACAGAGCTGAGCCCTGAAAGCTTTCAGGGATCAGGGGAGTATGAACTAGCACCTATATCCTGCACTTGTGATTACCTAAGGGCGAGCAGTACTTCTCAATGCAAGAGAGAACCAGTGATGTATAGTTTTTAAATGATTGCTTTATTTACATTTTGGCTGAACCACAAAAAAGAGGAAAAGTAACTTCAAAGTTTCCTAACCAAATTGAGATTCATGTGGCATGGTTTAGTGTTCCAAAGTTCACATCCTGTGCTGCCCATGTAGGGTTGGATTGAGGTAAGACCTTTCAGACAGAGGTGAAAGTAAGAAAAATTAAGGCCACTCAGTAGCGGTCGAGGCTGGATGGCGTGGAAGGCCAAGAGCAGGCACATCCCTTCTCCAAGCATTTGATTAGGATGTGAAATGTTCTGGAAGTGGAATGTTTTCTGGTCTTCACATTGGAAGTCTCTCTCATTTGGGTTGAATTTAGGTATTGGCAGTTTACTTTTTAAGACATGATTTTGATCTTGGGCAGTGTAGGACAAAACAGTGTCCAATTCAGTCTGACAGTGAGCTTCCTGAGGGACTTAGCTGAGAACACGGCAGGTGCTTAGCAAATGTTTACTGAATGAATGAGTGATAAGTGACCAGATGGATGAATGAACACATGAAACTTGAGTATACCTTAGTGAACGATGCAAAATGCACTTGGTCTCATGGCCAGTAGGAGGTGATGCTGTGGAATTGTCTATCATGCCCCAACCTCCTTTTTTTTTACAATATATTTTGTAGACTTAGAGCATCCAGCTCCTAAGACTTTAGCAAGATCAGAGTTTACTTGAGCTGTAAGAGGGGTTAGAGATAATCTAACCAGGTCACAGAGTTAATTCATGGCAGAGGGCTTCTAATCTCTTTATGGCTAGAATGGATACCACATCTGAGTAGTAGTCTAGCCTTTTATTTTTTTATGTAATCTAAAGTGCTGTTTATTTTTTGAGAAATGTGTTTCCATGTTTCAAAATATAAAAGACGCAGAAGGGTATTCAGAGAAAGATCCCTCCTTCTATTCTCTACGCACGCCCCTCCCTAAAGATGACCTCTGTTACTTCTTTCTTTTGTATCCTTAAAGAGGATGGTCAGTGCATCTAAGCACAATGAAAAAAGTGTCTCCTTTTTTTTTTTTTTTTTTTAAACATACATTCTGTTTTGCCCTTTGTTTTTTTCAGTCAACCATATACTGCTCCTGGTGCTTTAACTCTTCCTTCATACTGTCTCTTGGCCAAATTCTTCTTGGCATGCTCCTGGCACCTCTCTTGACCAGCCATTAATCTTTCCTTGCCTCCACACTTGCGTTTGTCTCCTAACTTACCTCCCTGCCTGGTTCTGGGGCCTCTACTCCAGTGGTCCCCAACCTTGTTGGCACAAGGGACGGGTTTCGTGGAAGACAATTTTCCTATGGACCAGTGGTGAGGGGAGGGGGAGGGGTGGTTCAGGCAGTAACGTGAGCGATGCAGAGCTGCTCATCTCCTGCTTGCAGCCTGGTTCCTAACAGGCCGTGGATGGCCCAGGGGTTGGGGACCCCTGCTCTACTCCTTCCTCTGTGTGATACCAGATTCATCTTCCTGACACACCATTTTGACTGTTTTGTTCCCTTTGCCTTCCCAATAAAGCCCAAGATGCTCTGTCTGAAAATCACCCCCTATCCCAGCCTTCCCACCTCACCCTGCCATCCACACATGTGGGTACCTTCCCCACTCACCTTTGTATTGGGCGTACATTGGCTTTGGGTGCCTTCCCCCCAACCCTCTCCCTTTCTAAGTCCTGCCCCTCCTTCAGAGACCTACTCAAAAGCTGGAAATGGTCTTTTTCTTCCTGGCCCAGGCGTAGCATCGAGTGTGTCCCTCTTTGTGCTAAAGTTATTGTTTCTGTCTTAAACACCCTCTAATACAGGGAAAGTTCATGGGGGCAAGGATTGTGTTTGTCTTACACAGTTTTGCATCCTTCAGTTAACCTAAGGCAGTGTTTGTGCATCCTGTCTGTATCACCTAATGCACAGTTACTGGATGAACAGTGAGACTGGTGTAAAAGAGGACAGTGTCTGTACATTTCAGGACTCTTGCGAAGTTTCTATGAGCAGGGCCTTTATTCTCTATACTGAAAATACCAAATTGCTCTTCTTCTATCGAGTAGCTCATGGGAAATGTGGTCATTCAGTGTGAATAGGAGATCTGTTCGTTATTAAGAATATTCAAAACAGGTGTGACATGCCATTATGGTGCTTGAGAGTACATATGCATAAATTTTTTACAAGTCTTTTTATCAAGCAAGGAAAGAGCTAGGCACATTAAGAAATAATGTAATTGATTTATTGTATTTTGTGAAGTATGTTTCATTTATATCAATAACTGGCTGAAGTTAAGATTTAAGATATGAAAAGCTTTACCTGTGTGTAGCTGCACATAGTAACTGTGTAACATCCAGTTGCATTAAAATATATGTAACTCTTGAAAGAATCAAGCAAAGCTCTACTTCTCAGGTTTGACAATAAGTCACTGCCCAGCTGCTGACCTTTGGTAATGCCTTTGGGGTGCATAGATATACTGCTACCATTGGGTATATATTTTAATGTCTTTAAGAACTTCAGTGTTGCGCTGGAAGTTCAGAGGACTGGTGCAGAGGTTGATGTGTTTGCTTCATCTGCCCCGTCCATCTTCTTTAGGCAGTGTTCTGCATCTGACCTAAAATACAGCAGAGAGTTCCTGCTCCCCTGTTGACGGGGAGACAGAGCTGGCTCTTTCCAGTTTTTCACTAGGAAGAAATGGCATGAATTTGCCCAGGTAGATGGCCACATGCCTGTGGAAAAAGTGGCGGAGGTGCTTCTGGAACCTCTCACCAACGAAGGCGTAGATCACGGGGTTGACACAGCAGTGGGTGTACGCGATCACCTCCGTCACCAGCATGGCCAGGTCCAGCTGTCTGCTCTGCTCACACTCAGTCTCCAGGTGCATTTGAAAAGTTGAGAGGAGGACAACCAGATTGTAGGGTGTCCAGAAAACAAAGAAGACCACCATGATGACAAAAATGAGCCGGATGGCCTTGTATTTTTTTTTACTGGGGCATCTCAGCAGTGTTTTAATGATTCCTGAGTAGCAGATGGCCATAACGAGCAGAGGCAGAGCGAGACCCAAGATATTCATCCTCAGAGCATGGAAACACTTCCAGGCATTTTCTCCATTCTTTGGGTAAAGAGGACTGCAGAAAGTCTGTTCAAACTCCTCTTGGGACTCATGGAAGATAAATTCAGGGAGGGCTGCTAACCCTGCCAGGCCCCAGGTGAAGATGCTGGTGATGATACCGAAAGTGGTCGTCCGGGCTCGAAGGGCAAACACAGCGTGAACGATGGCCAGATACCGGTCTATGGTCAGGAGTACGATGAAGAAGATCTCGCTGTACAAGCCCATGTAATAGAGCCCAGAGAGCAACTTACACATATGGGGGCCAAAAACCCACTCATTCCACCCAACATAGTGAATCCAGAATGGCAGAGTGAATAAGAAGAGCAAGTCGGAAATGGCCAAATTGAGCAGGTAGATGTTGGTCATAATCCGGAGCTTGTTGTATTTTGTGAGGATCACCACCACCACTACATTGCCCAGCAGACCAACCGTGAACACCAGGGAATACAGCGGGGGCAGGAACTGAGCCCCCAGCTCCTTGATGTTGCTTTTTTCACATGGCAGTGCCCCCTCATAGTCATAGGGTGTGGTCCCAGCAGCTTCACCCACAGTCTCAGTCCCATCGACTGAGGTCACCATTTCCCTTGTCCCTGTGATAGAAGAAGGAAAAAGCAACCCCACAATTAGCCATGATCATCCCTTGTGACCCACACCAGTTGGTTTATACATTTACTGAATAAAACCACATGGGATAAACAGCCTATACATTCCTCAGCATGTATTTCCAAAGGTATATCAGAGATGCTGTGGGGGGGAGATGTCAGGAGTGAAAGATCTACCGTTTTCAAAGTCAGCATGATCTGGGATGGGAAAGGAAACAGAAGAGTTGTGAGTGGTGGTGAAGAGTGGGCGTGTTGCTCTCAGAAAGCATTTGAAGGAAGAAATACAAAACGCGAAGAGACAGGTTGGGTAATGATAACAATAATACTATACTAATTTTATTATTACTGTATCTTTTAAGGTATTTTGCATTTTGTGTGTTATGGTTTATATATGACTTTCAAAATCATCTTACCTATTTAAAAACCAAATGCTAATAATAATAATAATAGTGGTAATAATGATAATAGTGATTATTATCATTAGAAATAACTACCCCCTCTCCATGGCCCCATAACAATGTGCTGTTCATCATAGCTACTGGGGAGATTGAACCTTAAAGAAATTTAATAATTAGCCTAAAATCCTCTAGTAGGTAATTGCGAAAGTTCAGGCTAGATCTTCAGTGTCTATGTCCAGTTCTCTCATCCCTGGATTCAAGTGCAGTGATTTTAACTTTTTTTTTTCTTACAACTTTATTGGAGTATAATTGCTGTACATTGTTGTGTTAGTTTCTACTGTATAACAAAGTGAATCAGCTATACGTATACATATATCCCCCTATCCCTTCCCTCTTGCGTCTCCCTCTCACCCTCCCTATCCCACCCCTCTAGGTGGACACAAAGCACAGAGCTGATCTCCCTGTGCTATGCGGCTGCTTCGCACTAGCTGTCTATTTTACATTTGGTAGTGTATATATGTCATTGCCACTCTCTATGACCCAGCAATCCCACTATTGGGCATATACCCCGAGAAAACCATAATTCAAAAAGAGTCATGTACCACAGTGTTCATTGCAGCACTATTTACAATAGCCAGGACATGGAAGCAACCTAAGTGTCCATTGACAGATGAGTTGATAAAGAAGATGTGGCACATATATACAATGGGATATTACTCGGCCATAAAAAGAAACGAAATGGAGTTATTTGTAGTGAGGTGGGTGGACCTAGAGTCTGTCATACAGAGTAAATTAAGTCAGAAAGAGAAAAACAAATACTGTATGCTAACACATATATATGGAATCTTAAAAAAAAAAAAAAAAAGGGTCTGAAGAACCTAGGGACAGGATAGGAATAAAGATGCAGACGTAGAGAGTGGACTTGAGGACATGAGGAGGGGGAAGGGTAAGCTGGGATGATCTTTAACGTTTGAAGACTTAGCTATTATAATAGTTACTAACTATTGTAATCATTATAAGCAGCATTCCCTTTTCCTGTTCGTTTCAGTGCTGACATAAGCCAGTCATGTGCCAAGAGCAAACCCCTTAGAGCTTCTCCTTCATAAAGGAGCTGAGCATAGGCCAATGGGACTTCATATTAGATTTGACATTTTTTAGAGCAGGATCCCTAGGGCCAGTGCCTGCTTTTCTTAAGATTACAGACTCGGCTGGAGAAGAAGGAAAAACAGACAGTGGAGGAGTCCATGAAGGGCAGTTAATCCCTGCACTGCCTCCTCAGAAGGAGTCCTACTGACTTTCTCCTTTCTATGAAGGCACAAATGTGAGGTCATGAATGTATGTCAGCAGGCATTTCTCAAGGCAAGTCTTCAAACGGCAATAATTGGAGCCAATGGCAAGGATTGTCTTTGCTTCTTAAGAGAATACTGGGACCCCAGAGGTCAGCACCTGTCAGGGTTCTGTGTAGTCCATGTGAGAGTAGAGAGGGGAGACACAGGAGCTGTTCCTGGCTGTTCTGCTTGCCAGCGATAGGACTTGGACAGGCCTTTAACTCTGAGCCTCGTTTACTCATCTCTAAAATAAGGATCATGGTAGCACCCAAGGTTGTGGTGAGCATCAAATCAGACAGTCTACATGAGATCACATTTTAAATTAGAAAAAACCTGTAAAATTGATAGGAAGCAGAAGTGAAAAAAAGGCAATGAGAAGCAATTTCATATGAAATCAGGAAAAAGTAGGGGCTTTTGGATAGAACTTGATCTATTTTCACAGCTCTGTCCTGGTACATCATCTACAGATAAGTGACACCTTCAGGCTTTTGAGGTGAAAAATGGAATTGAGGAATAACTGATTTCTGTGATCTTATCAGCATTCTTATTCCTAATGGCAAACTTCACAGCAGCCGAGAAAAAATACCTGTCACTTTGTCTGTTATGCATTTTCAATCATGAGTGTCTCTCTAAATCTTAATGTCTAAAGCAAGAAAGGAACAGAGCCTCTACTCACCATTAATTATTTGTATATTCTTTCCTTTTCTCCCAGACTGATCTAAAAACACGTCAGACTTTTAAAAAAATTTCACTGAAGTTTTGTTCAACTTGAGGATCGTCTTTAATTCATGTGTCACTTCCATAAATCCGACATGATCAGTATAAGATTATAGAATCTTGGTGGGGGGTGAGTGCCTAGACTGCAAAGTACAGGGAAGCAAGCAGATTCTGTAGAGTCAGAAGCCAAGTCGTTGATTACTAGTTACATGGGGTCAGAGACACAAAAACAGGGTTTTTACCTGTCTGCAGTCCTAATCACAGTCCTTGCAGTTTGGAAAAATGTTACAGTAATAGTAAACAACATCAACAATAAAGAAAGGCGCGCGCGCGCGCACACACACACACACACACACACACACACACACACACACACAGTAAAAACCACCCCAAATCTCACCATGATGAGTTTACCACCAATAACATTTCTCTATGTAGATATGCATATGCGGATACGAAGTTTTACAAAAATTGACGTCATACTCCTTTAGCTGGTTCACTAAAATTGCTCACAGTACAACTCAACCGTGCACTGTAAATGAAGTTTCTGTAGTCTTCAAAACTATTTGGATCTCTGTTACTAGCTTCCCACCTGCTGGGTAGCAGGAAAAAGTATTCACAAATTTTAGTCCTAAGTGGTTTAAATTTAGTCTGATACATCCATTGATTTGAATGATGACTAGGTTTTACTCATCCTCTGTTGCCAGCTTATAATTTCGGTCCCTTGTCTTCTCTCATTGGTTCTTTCTAAGATGGCAGTGGAGATATGGGGGAAGGGCCAGCATGACTCGATTCGTGGGCGGAGGGAGAAGGGGGTACCCTAGTCTCCTGTTGGTTCTTGATTTACGTGGATTGTGTCTGCTGAGGTGGGTCAACCTAGTCCCAACCCTGAGCCTTGTGCTGGCATCTGCTGCAATGGTTTGTAGTTAATGGCTTCAGGATCCACTCATTCTCAGTCCTCCCCAGGCACAATGACCTCTCCCAGGTGATGGAGTGTTCCCTCGGCTCTGGCTGGAATGGAGAACCACATCTCCATCAGGTTTCTGGCCCAGGCTATGCTCTTTCTTCTGAACTGGCAGGTGCCCAGGCAGACATGCTCCTCCTTTGACTCCATGTCCATGCCATGTACAAACCAAGGGGCACGCAAGACTGCAAACCAGATCTTTTTTCTGCCTGACCACCAGCTTAACTGCGCTAGCCACCCCATGTGGGTAAGGAGGTGCCTTGCAGAGAGACATCCTTTGGGGGTACCTCCAGTTTATCAAACAGCCCTCCACACCCCCCAACTCTGGTCAAAGCCTGGATGTGAGAGATAGGGATACACAGATGTGACTGCTTCCTTCCATAGTCTCTTTTCTCACAATTCCTGGACTCAGAAGGAGAGGAGTCCTCTCCCTGCCATTCTTTTCTGGCCAGTTCCAACTAAATATGTATGCAACCTTCGTTTATACTGTGGTAAATGGTATGAGGTAATGGATACCTCATAATTTCACATTCACCACTGTAAAATTTTAATGAGTGTTGCAAAACTGAGTTGAAAAGAAATATTTAGAATTGGAGACCCTTCTTTAGAAAATATATTTAAGTTTGAAATGCCATTTTAATTATCCAAAAAAAATGTAATGATGGTACTCAATGCTAGTGAGTTTGCAGTGAACCTTATTCATTGCTGGGGCGCTTATTCATTGATGATGGAATGTAACTTGTTTTAATAAATTTTATATATAACAGGAACCATCAAGATACACATGGCTTTGATCCAGTAGTTCTAATCCTGGAAATTTACCCTAAGGGGGAAAGGTCCAATACATAATGTGCACAAAGGTGTTCACTGTGGCATTGTTTTTGTAGTAGAAAAACAAGAAATGGGAACAATCTAAATGTTTGACACATGAAGGATATTTTGAATAAATTATAGTCCATTTACACAATAGATTATTATGTAGTCATTAAAACTAGTTTTGGATACCGGATAGAATCACAGACAAATGTTTATAAAAATGAAGAGAATGTAAAGTGTGTAAACGAAGATTGCAACAGCATGAAATTATATGTACATGTAAAAGGCAACAGGCAAATAATCAAAATAGCTGTGGAGGGGTAGGTGGATTATCATTTTCAAAGCTGTAAAATTAAAAAATTTTCTATACTCCCTTATCAGTTAAACTGTCGTTGAAAGCTAGTGTTTTTAGGCAGGGACTGCTGGAAGATTTGGCAGACACATTTTCTAAAGGTAATTGTGTTGAAAACCCAGGCAAATTAAAAGATGAAGGGTTTCCTCATCAGAACTTGAAACCACAAACTGAGATCTAAAACCTGAAGAGGGCACACTAGGTAAAGCATTTGAATTTTGTTTTGAAATTTGGAGATCTTGGTAGCCAGGTTCTCCCCTTTGATCTTGGGTGGAGCTGACATTACAACCCCCAGACTGGGGTAGGGGAGGCGTCTTTTAGGGTCTTGAGACCTGCTTTGGCTGGGGCTCAGCCGGCCTCCACGGGAAGAGTGAGAAGGCCTTGCGGATGACCACAGTGGGCACCTTCG